TTTTTTTTTTACTATTAAATTTAATCCTTTTTAGAACATTCGAAATTCTACTTAAAATTTTTGTTTTTCTCATGTCAACGGGGAACCATAAATTAATACACCAAATTTTAACATCTTTTTGCGGTGAAAAACATTAATTTGGAAATTCTTGCAGAAATCAAATAATTGCCGGTTTCTAATTAAACTTCCAGAAATTATTCACAAATGAATTAAATTATTTTAGAAATGTTTTAGTTTTAGAAAATCTTGGACAAATATTTTTCTTTTAAATCTGTTAATCCACATCTATTTACCTTTTCGAGAAATAAACTTTGGTAGCGCTAATTGTTTATATTAGTTATAAGCACAAATCATTGGAGAATTTAAATCATCATTTGTTTTTGTGAAGAAAAAACAATTATGGAAAGATATATTATGAGCGCTTAAACATTTTTCGACGAATAATGATTTTTTACAAGATGTATTTTCATTTGTTAAAATATTTAATTAGAATAGATAATTTTTAAAAATTAAAATTTTATAAATTTTAAATCTTTAAAAATTCTGTATTAATTTGTCACAGTTAGGCCATATTGTTATTAAGTAAAATCTATGGTCACTAATCATAAATGAAAAGCTTACTAGAATTCAGCGATATCCAATAATTTAAATAGAATTCTTAGTATTATTGTGTGTGTATAAACGTGCCGTTTTTGTAAAAACGGGAGTCCATCATTATCAAAACATAAGAGCGGTAACTATAAAGCCAACTTACCTAAAATTATTTTTTTTTTAAATTTTAAGATTTTACTAAATTTTTAAGATTATTGGATCATTAAAAAATTATATAAAAATGGCATTCATAATGTATTCAAGTAATTATTACAGTTAAATGCCGTTTACTTAAAAACGTCAAGTTATCAATAAATGCCTCAACAATGTATAAAAACACTGATCTCTGTGTTATAAAAAAAGGCTTCTATGTGAGATTTAAAACTAAAAGTGTGTAACGTTTATTTCAAATAAGATTAATTAAACTTTAAATCATCTAATCTTCCTCAACTAAAATTTCAGAAAAATATATTTTAGAAAGAATTTTGATGAAGAGAATCTTATTGTAATGACGGATTTGCCAAGATGGCTGACTTTTTAGCGATGATAAGGATTTTAAAAACAATTCCAATCAGTTTAAATTAGTTTTGAAAAACAACAAAGTATTTTGACTTTTTGGAAATATTAAACTATTAGCTTAAAATTAAAACTAAAACAAAAGTTTCAAGATTTTTCATTTTTAAAAATGCATTTTAAAAGTTAGGTCTCGCTTTTCTTTGGAGGTCCCTAATATTGCATTAAGAATTGGTTTCTTCTTTTTCATAACAATTTTGCAATTTGAGGTACACTTTTCTTTCCTTTTGCCACAACAGTTGTAAAATATAAATATATTATGAAATGGACAAAGTTCGACAATTATTTTAAGACATTTTTAGGTTGATATATTCTTTTTATAGATACAAATATTTAAATGCTCTGTTTATAATAAACAGTATTAAACAACATTTACCGGCCTCAATATCTGAGAAATTTTCACAGAAAATATTTGTCCTCCGACAGGATTCGAACCTGTACGGAACCGTCATTTAGCTTAACGTGCCTTTACCGATTTGACCACAGAGGCGCGTTCGGTTGGCAAGGTCGAATTTACTCTATTTAAACTTCAATCTTCCATGAATGTTTCACGTACATTAATATCTGCTCATGGCGTATCAAATGTAAACAGGTAGGATACAGGTTCGAACAGCCCCACAAATATATATATATATATATATATATATATAAGGCAGGATGTGTATGTGTGTGTGTAACGAATGTACGTCCGCAATTTTCGAGGGATTTGCACCAAAATTTACATGCACATGCTCCAAGTTAGTGGGAAGGCCAAGACCGATTTTGCATTTCCCAAGTCCCATCGATAGTGGAAATAATTGATTTTTTCATGATTCCACGGCATTTTTCATGTAGTTTGCGGCCAATTTCTACTGGTCAGAGTCAGATCCTATAGCTGGCTGCTACGAATAGGCAGGAAAATTCTATTAGCCAGCGTGAGAGAATGTTAACTAGCATGCTAGCATACAAAAAAAATCGATAGCTTCATTCGTCACAAGTGGGAAAAATTTAAATCTGCATGGCACTTTACTCCAATTGGCTGATTTGCTTGCTTAAACTCAACGTTGATTCTGATTTCGCAGAACTGGGTTAGGTGTGAAAAAGTATTTGTTGTTAACATTCTTTTTTCATTCGGTTTTTCCAGTTACGAGTCCTTTTTTAAAGCTGATCGTTTTGTGTTCATTTTGTTTAGTTCTTTTTTCGTAACAAATTTAATGTTTAGTATAGAGCTTAGAAAACATTCGCAGTGTGAGATAGGCAAGAAGTAAGGCATGTAGCAACATCAGCACGGCAAAGGGCACTCCTTTAAAGGCAAGGAAGGGCAAAAATATTTTAAATCAAGTTATAGCGATTGCTG